AATTTGAGATTTGTTTTTCAAAATCAAGACCTCATTTTATAATAAAGTATATTTAGGAAATTGCTAGGAAATTAATGTTAAGCATAAGTCCATGTATATGTCTTAACACCATGTGTAAATGTTTAATATCTTAGCTACAAAACAAAATAGAATCCCTACATCAAATAATAATCAAATATATTAATTTGAAATTAAAAAATACTTTATGTATAAAATCAAAATGGTCTTGGATTTTCCTCTTGAAATTTCGTACATCACATATTTGAAATATATCATATTTTATTTTTGACATCAATAATTATCATATAATTAAAATGATGAAAAATAAAATAATATATATATACACACACATTCGGCGCTACATATATATATATATATATATATATATATATAATAAAAAAATTTTTGTCAAAATATAATTATCATATAATTAGAATGACACAAACAAAATATAATTTTAAAATACATATGTATTTTCGAAATACATATATATATATAAAATTATCACAACTATATATTTAATATTACTCCCACTAGTGTAGTATACTACTCCCTTACAAGTCCTAAGTGTGTGACCCCTTAGGTATCCATAACACTGGCAATGATATTAATAAAATTAGTATCATAGATAATAAGCGGTATCTAGCAACACATTATTATCACCAGATTATGAAAAAGACGTTCATCTCATCAATACCTTCTACGACACCAGACATTCTATAACTATTATCCTTCCGTCCTAAATGTCATGATTTAACACAAGGCATGGGATGTGTATCCTTGTATAGTTAAATCAGCTGTTACTGAATCTCAAGTAGACTGCCAGGGATCAGATATTTATCAGTCTCTAGATAGCGACATATCTGGGCATGGCCATGCACTTTCCCAAGTCCTACTATTCAGTGGGCCCATTGACATTATACTTCTATACAGTAGAAGGGTTAGATCTGTATCTGTTATTCACATCTCTAAATATGCTTAGAGGCATACCCAACGCATAACTGTACGTCTACCAGTATTTCAGATAGCATTAGTTATGAATCAAAGCATACGGCCCCACATATCAGAGAATGTTATAACTTCAAGTCTGAGGATAGTTATAGCAAGGTCGATTTGAGAATACTGATAAACACATTACTGTAGATCCATGCAGTATTCTCAAGATGGGTCAATCCAGTCACATATTATCAATATAATATGCACCTACGTACATATTAAGATATCACAATACCTATAGTCTATGAGACGCAACTATCTCATCTCGTACGTACTAGTCTTGATACGTTATGACGTCCGTATTATCATAAAGTGCGACTAGGGATATTCTAGACATAGCTTTCGTCAAGAAGTAACAGTCTCATAATCAGAAAATCGTAGTCCTCATCTATGTTACTGAAGCACTATCGTCTATGGACTGAAGCTATGTTATGTTACACGAGATATAAAACATACTTCAAGGCCTTTTATTCATGATAAAGTGTATAGTTACATAGGTATTTGATTGCCGCTAGGGCACCTAAATACAACAATCTCCCACTTGCCCTAAGGCCAATCAAGCATTTCTCGAATGCCCATGGACCACGTATGACTCTCGTGTTTAGGCTTTCCCAAAGCCTTCGTCAACGGATCCGCGATATTGTCGTTTGTACCTATCTTGCAAATCTCAACGTCCCCACGTGCAACGATTTCTCGTATGATGTGATAACGTCTAACGATGTGTTTGGTCTTCTGGTGAGACCGAGGTTCTTTCGCTTGTGCAATTGCCCCATTGTTGTCGCAAAACAACGGTATAGGGTTCTTGATGCTAGGAACAACTCCAAGCTCAGTAATAAAATTCTTGAGCCACACACCTTCCTTGGCTGCCTCGGCTGCAGCCATGTACTCTGCTTCAGTAGTGGAATCAGCGGTAGTATCTTGCTTGTAACTCTTCCAGGTAACAGCTCCGCCATTCAAACAAAACACATACCCTGCGTGTGACTTGAAGTCATCTCTATCAGTTTGGAAGCTGGCATCAGTATATCCAACAATACTGAGCTCTTCTTTTCCGCTATATACCAGGAAGGCATCCTTAGTCCTACGGAAGTATTTAAGGATGTTCTTCACAGCCGTCCAATGGCTTTCGCCAGGGTTGGACTGGTATCTACTCGTGACACTCAGAGCAAAGGTGACATTAGGTCTCGTACATACCATCGCATACATGATGGATCCAATGGCCGACGCATAAGGAACATTTCTCATGCATTCTACTTCCTCCGGAGTGGAAGCACCCTGAGTCTTGGAAAGACTCGTGCCTTGGGCCATAGGCAAACTTCCTCGTTTCGACTCAGACATGCTGAATCTAGCGAGGACCTTGTCTATGTATGTACTTTGACTGAGACCTAACAGCTTCCGTGATCTATCCCTATAGATCCTTATGCCAAGTGCATAACTGGCATCTCCCAAGTCCTTCACAGAGAAACTCTTACTCAACCACATCTTGACGGTGGTTAAAGTAGGAATATCATTTCCTATGAGCAGTATGTCATCAACATACAGAGCAAGGAAGACTACAGCACTCCCACTGACCTTCTTGTATACACAAGATTCATCCGAATTTCCTTCAAAACCAAAGCCGATGACAGTTTTGTGAAAGTGGATGTTCCAACTCCGTGAGGCTTGCTTCAATCCGTAGATTGATCGCTGCAACTTGCATACCTTGGTAGATTCTTCAGGAGCGCAAAACCCTTCAGGTTGTGTCATAAAGACATCCTCAAGGAGGTTTTCATTAAGGAAAGCCGTTTTGACATCCATCTGCCAGATTTCGTAATCGTGGTATGCTGCGATAGCAAGTAATATCCGAATGGATTTAATCATGAAAACTGGAGAAAAAGTTTCGTCATAGTCGATACCATGTATTTGACGATATCCTTTTGCTACCAATCGTGCCTTGAAGGTTTGCACCTTACCATCCATGTCAGTCTTCTTTTTGAAGACCCATTTGCACCCAATGGGTTTGATCCCTTCGGGTGCATCAACCAAAGTCCATACTTGGTTGGTGTACATGGAATCCATTTCGGACTGCATGGCTTGACGCCATTCCTCAGCCTCGGGACAACTGATTGCCTCGAGGTAGGTCTCCGGCTCATCCTGGTCGATAAGCATTACGTCACCCTCAAAGGTTAGGAGGAATCCATACCTTTCAGGTTGTGT